CATTCCTGTGTTAACATACATAGAGCTTTGCCACAAGATTGTTAAAAGCAAAATAAACATCTAATTTTCCTCTTACCTTTTTTATTATAGGAAAGCAAGATTATTTTAGGAGTTTCCCATACATCTTGTGGGACTCCTTCAGATATGATTCAACCTAAAGCTCAGTACTTACATATAAGCATCATATATATGTGAGGAATAGTAAACAGGTCAATAGATTCACGAAGATTGCAGCCCCTAGTGGGTTTACTCAATGAATTGAACCCTGGGATCATTAACTATGTGAGGAATATAGTAAACAGGTCCATTCTATAATTGAGGCCCTAGTCAGATGTGAAAAGCTTGAAAATGGTCACATTCAAAGCAGATCAACAAGCCATTTAAAAAGAGGAAAGGAAGTAAATGATAGAAAGAAAGACCCAGAAAATGTTCATGATTCAGGAATTAGTCAACCTAATCATTCTCATGAAAATGAGAATGATGATGTTAGCAAGCCATCTTTGCTTACAAAGCATCAGAAAGATCATGGTGGTAATTTTACAGCTTCAAGAGGCACCGGATTGGATCTCAACGCAACAGATGTCTCCAGCTCAGTTGATCAAAAATCATTATTTCCTTATGAAATTTATGGTCATGTTAAATCAGAGAGGTTTCAGAGTGTAGGAGCTCAACTGGGCCTTTGGAGGAAAATGACTCAATGAAATTGTGGAAAGAGATGAAGCAAAATGGTTTCCTCTCTTCTTCACATGGAGGCATACCAGTGAACAAAATGACTCAGGAAGTAGGTAGGATCCTTTATCCTTGGATAAACAAACTGTTTATTTGAGTTCAGATCATAAAGTTGGACATGGTGAAACATATGTAGTGGAGAGAAAGATTCATGACAAGATTTCAGGTGCTTTGAACTTCACATCTGAATGTGCTGATAGTGCTCTTACAATTAAATTGTCATCAGCTACAAATGTTGCATCAGAAGATAAAAGCTCTGTGTCTAATGAGGATCTGGTGAATCAAATAAGTGTTTGCATTCTTGTATTTACAGGCCTTTCCACCTCCAGAACCTTGCATTCATGGATGCAGACATTTGGAAATTTTGTAAGATGATTGGACTTTCCGGTTGATTAGGCAGGAAGCTTGTATTTCTTGTTTTGAACCTGTACCTAAGTTGTTGAAACTGTATTAAGCGTTGGACACCTGGAACAAATTTTCAGACAGTGAAGGAATGAAACATCCTTCTAATGTGTTTTGATCATTTCAGGTGGCTGAGGGAGAACAGTACTTCTACTTATAGTTTATAGTCTCATAATTCCTTACAAACAGAATGACTAAAATGAAAGCCAAAAGGATGACTCTCCAAGCTATATAAGAGCTGAATTTGAGCTAAAATGAAAGCCAAAACGAAAGTCCAAATAATGGGGGCATCATCCCAAACTGAAGAGCCCTTTTCAAGATTATTCATAAGAATCAAAATTGGACATCTTAGGAAAAAGCCCATGGGCATTGAGCCTTAACTCTGATGGATCTACTTGTAATCATGATCTGCAACCAAAGTAGTTAATTTTGGTTTGGATATAGGTTTTGGCCTCCTTCAAAACGATTTTTTTAAGAAAAAGAAACTGTAGGAATTTCAAAATTTCAGACAAGATGCAAGGAAAAAAATCTGTTATATAAGAAAATATTTTATATTCATTCCTATTTTATCTCTTTTTTTCCACATTTTTTCTCTCAATCAATTACTTCCTATTTCTCTCAATAATCTTCAGAGAACAGAAGATGAGCAAACTAGTTACGACGAGAACCGAGAAAGAGAAAACAATGAGAACAAATACAATAGAACATTGAGGTTGAAAAACCCTAGATTTTGAAGAACGAGGAAAAATCAAAACGAATGCAATGAAAGAAAAAGTTAAAACCACATACCTTGGAAGGGAACAGATCCGTCTCCAAAAACCTTACAGGGGTTGCAGTAACAGCGGATCAAAGAGCAGTAGGGTTTTCTACGGGAGGCACAACTGAAACGAGATGGTCTTCCTCGATTTCTTCCTCGGATTTCTTCCTCGAAGCTCGCCGTTGGACTTCTTCCTCGACGCTCGCCGTTCTCCCGTTCTTCCTTGACTCGAAGGTCTGTATGCTCGTGAACCAAACCTTGGTCGAACAAACAGATGTTTTTTACACATGCAAAATATCTGCACGTGAGAGCGCTAATCTACATTCCGTAATAAGTATATACCAGCGGAGGGGGGGCTTGCGTTGTAGGGCTCGCTCATAAACTATCAAACTCGAAATCGATTCGAATTAGAAATTTGAGTTTTGCTCGATTCAAAAGCTTAAAAGTTTGAGCTTGACTATCTTTGATTGCACGTCTTTCAAGCATCCGAGGTGTTGAGCTGAGGTCTTCCTCAATTGCCAAGGTGTCAAACCGAGGTCTCCCTCAACTGTTAGTGTCGAGCTGAGATTTTCCTACCAGGCGAGTTGTCGAGCTAAGGTCTGTCTTAGTTGACAAGGTGCTGAGCCGATGTCTCCCTTAGTGGTCGATTCGAATTAGAGACTTGAACTTGAAATCAGAAGTTTGAGCTCGACTCGGCTCGAACTTGACTACCTTTGGATGCAGGTCCCCTAGCAACCAATATGCTAAGCTAAGGTCTTCCTCAATTGGAGAAAGAGTGGCATTCTTGTAATTTAGAAGGAGAGAGAGAGATGGCATTCTTGTAATTTGAAAGAAATAGAAAGAGAGAGTTGATAGGAGAGAGAGTGGCATTCTTGTGATTTGAAAGAAAAAAGTAAGAGAGAGAGCGAGAGAGAAAGAGAGTTTGTAGGAGAGAGAGTGGCATTCTTGTAATTTGAAAAAAAAAAGATAGTTGGTAGAGATTGACATTCTTGTAATTTATATGAAAAAAGGCAAAAAATACTGTTAGATTCCATTTCCCTCATTCTCGGGCCTTATCAAGTACACATTTCAGCTTAATATATATATATTGATATAGTTGCTTTGAAGTTGTTCATATTAACGTTTTGGGTTGAAGAATGATAGGGCTGATTTGAAAGTCTACTCTATATGTCGTTATCCCCATAATAAAATCGATGAACAGGGACAATGATTTCAGGCGATCTACCTGAAATCGATGAATGAATATGGTTCCTAGTTATCTTCATAGGTTAAATGAAAACCACACATTAGGGACGACGATGAACAGGTCTTTGTGGGTGCTTCGGAGCAAGGATCAAAATTTCATCACGTATTGGCCCGTACTAGCCAATACGTATCGTATTGGAGCCTTCCCGATACACCCCTACAGGGGGTGCCTTTAAACTGGCCCCTCTAAACTGGTTTCGTAAAAAGAAAAATTTAAATATATATATATATATATATATATATATATCAGTATCGATACACCCTACTAGCATATCAGCCTATATCGATATTTTGAACCTTGCTTGGGAGTTTAAGATCAAAGAGAAATTAAAGATGGATATAACTGGGGGGCAATTGGGGGAAAAGGAAATGAGAGAGAGTGGGCAGGTAAGGAGATATCGGGTAGATCATCGCCGCTAAGAATTGCAACAATTATTGAGAAAACCAAAGAAAGCCAAAAACCTAACCTATCGAGTGCGAGATATGTTTGGGTAAGCCGATCGTGGACTTCCTTGTTCGGAGAGAGAGAGAGAGAGAGAGAACCACAACTAGAGAGGAGAGAGGATAACCATCGCCTAAGGTTGCAGTAGCATCAATGGCTTTGTTGACAGTCCATTGTGTGTTAAGGAGGCAAGGGGAAAGAGAATGAGAAAGAGAGAAATATTTCAAAAGGTGTTTTTGGAAATTTTGAAGAAAAATCGGTTATGTGATGTCATATGTGATCGAGTGTGACAAAAAGTTAACAGTAAGGGAAGTTTTAGACAATTGTTAGAAATAGTAGGGGTAGATAATAAATTTCCTAAACCTTAGGGGTAGTTTAAGAAATTTGCCATAAATTATTTATGCTAATAAACCAAATGTTTTAACTATAACTTTCTTATATATTATCTGTTGAACTTACCTTTTAGATATAAAATGTAATAAAATTTGTAAGAATACCAATAATCCTTTTTACATCATTAACAAGTAAAAACTAGAACGAGTCCAACTATTAATCAAGACAAAATCATAGTAGAACCAACCCATTAACAATAGCATTGCACATTAACAATTTTCAGAAAAAATACAAAAAAGGTGTGGCTTGGGGTGTAAAAAGGCGTAAGACTCAACTATCAATGACCATTTAGAGATTTAATGCATATATATTAAGTTGGAAAATTATTGTAGAGTTTTAACTATATATATAATTTCTATAACTATTCAAAATTTTAATATTTTTTGAAAACTATGAAATTTAAAAAATTTAATACATTGCATAATTAGTTACTTGTAATTTATGTTGTTTTTAGTAATTATTAGGGAAAATTAATATCAATAATGATTTCCCTATTTATCAGTAATCTACATTGGTTTTTGGTATTTATTGAAAAATTTTAATTTAGTAATTTTCATAAACTAATTTTCATGTTTTTGGTAATTTAATTTAGTGAAAGTTGATTTTAATTTTTTCTATATTTTCATTAATAAATTATTCATAAATATATAAAAATTTGAAATTTAATTTATTCATATCAATAAATTTCGGAATACTTATTTATATAAAATCAGGAATTTATTCATAGATTTTTGAAAAGTAATTTATTCATATCAATATTCGTGTCACTGATTTTTAAGATATTTAGGTTTCCTTTCTATTTTTCTTTTTAATTTTTTGATTACACAAATAAAAACAAATGGATATTTTTTGTTAATTTACTTTTAAGCATCCTCTGCAAAAGTATCAATTGGTTGGTTGACTTGCTTGCACTAGGATTGGGGGCTTGATGGGTTTGGGGGATGACGCCGGTTGGTTGCAGTGCAAATTTATTTATATTAATACAAATGCATGGGAGTGTAAATGTAAACAATGGAAATTCATGTTTAATATTTTTTTGGTTTTTTACTTTATTCCACTTCATATTTTAATTTATCTCATTTGTATTGCAATTAAATAAAATAAGATAAAATTTGAAACAAAAATAGGTCAAAATTTACACTCAAATGTCATGATTTTGTATCAATACAAATTTATTTACATTACAACCAAACGCAACCTTAAATTCAGTTTAGAAGGAGTATAAATACAAATATATAGCAAATACTTACAAGGTGCAACTAGATATTTGTATCTGTACTTCCCGTGCATCATGGCCCCATTAGTTAATCGGACTCGCATTTTAATCGTATCGAGTGATAGATCATCTGAATTCGATTAACTTATCCGAGTCCGAACTCCGAAGTAATCGAATCGATCTCGGGTCGTTTTTTCGGTGTTTCGGGTACGTTACTAATGGTCCTTATCAGCTCTCTCTTTAGCACCTCTCACAGGCTCTCAGCCTCTCACCCAACTAAGAAAGTTGTACATTCATTATCCGCTTTAACCGCAGAGCTCTCTTTCTTACGAATTCCAAAAAATGGCTTCTTCTTCCCTCCTTCTTCCATTAGGTAATACCCCTCCAACTATAATAAAATGCATTGGAACTGTGCTATGAGTACATGATAACATGATTAAGTTTCTGCAAATACTATATATCGAATTTTTGTATTCTAGTTTTGAATTCTTCGTCTGAATCGGTGGTGTTTACTTTTGTTTTCTTTCAATGATTATTATTTTCTTTAGAATTATAAGTTTCTATGATCGTTTAACGTCGGTTGGAAAATTTCAGTCGTTGTTATTTTTAGTTCTGAAATAAATCTATTTCGGATTTGTTCTGAATACAAGCTTTAGTTGGAAACTTCCGTTTTTTTTTGGTGTAAAATACGAATTTGTTTATCTGGGTTTTACTTCTTTTGTTGGCATTCTCTTTGTAATTTTTTATGCAACTTGTCTTCTTAATGGATATATCTGGAGTGGTATTCATTTTTCGCGTCTTTGTTTTCTTCTGAATAAGAGTGTTCCTTATTATTTATCTTTACTTTTTTATTTTATTTTCTTCTTTCTGGAAATGTGACTCTATCATGCCATATCAATGGTTTTCTATTTTTACCACTAATTTGTTTCATAATACTTTATTTTCTCGGAATTATGTGGGTTGTTTTTGAAAATTAGTTTATAGTTATTTTGTTGGCCTTAATTTTCTTCTTCTATAGTTCCAAAGCTATGATTTTGGATATACACGTATACATAATAAATTGATGGTTGACATTCCAACTTGAGTTAGAAATGAGACTGGTTTATGAGTCTGAAGCAAGTTCTTCAGGCACTTCTGTACAGGCTTATCACTTTACAATGTTGAATTTTGTATATACATTATTACATTGTTGTTAAATTTTCAAATTTTGATGTTTTAGGTTGTGTTTCTGCTAAAAGACCATTTCCCAACTATCAAACTATAGTCCCACATAGAGGTAAATGTCTGAGAGTTCTATGTACAACTTTGAAGGATAGAGAGAAGACTCAAGGCTCAAGAGAATATGGAAATTATTCCTCTCCAATTAAACGTAGGGACATTCTTGGGTTTGCTTTTGGAATCTCTGGACTCCTGTCCTCACTGGATGCCAAGGCTGCAGGGTTGCCCCCAGAACAAAAGCCAAGACTATGTGATGATGCTTGTGAGAAGGAGCTTGAAAATGTATGGTGAGATTTCGTAATCCTTATATCTGTATTGTCTCTTCCATTATAGGCAGCTTTATGATATCTTCACAAATCAGGATTCAATAGATGCCTTCTTAAATGGAGTATTCACTTTTTAGAAGGCTTATGAATTAGGGGCTTCACATGTTGCTAGGAAACTCAGAATTCAACTCAGACTCTATGAGGGTGGAGTCCAAGTAATATCAGTTTTCAGTTTGGCCATCTATATAAAACTCAACTTCTAAAGAACTAGATCGAGTATTCTAACATCTCCTAAGCCCTAAGTTATGACTTAACAAGACTCCAGTTTTTAATTGTGCCAAATTAATAATTTTTTTTGATAAATGAGATTGTATTAGTATTTTTTTTTGATAAATAAGAGTAGTTTTATTAATTCAAAAAATAGTAGTACATTCAGCCTAGGAAGAGGCACGAGGTATTACCACCCCCTAGGACTGAGTCATAAACACTAAACAAACACAAGCCTGAAACATAGTTACAAAGTGGCCCAAAACAGATCTCCCCTTGACACCCCTTGCTTGGCCAAAGAATCAGCTATTGCATTTGCTGATCTGCTGACCCACTGAAACCTGACTGACATATTCCTTGTCAGCCATTTAACTTTCTTTAAC